TCAGCTTTGATAACTGATAAAAAGTCATGATAAAAAAGTGTATTACTTACTTATTATCAAGTTTTGCATAGAAAAATCAATTATTATTTATCATTCATGAAAATTTCTTCAATTTCCTATAAATACAACACAAAACGATTATTATAGTACATTATTATTAATTATAAAATTGTTTGGTTGAATGAGGCAAACTTTTACAAACATAGGAAATGTTACGATAGTTACAGTTATTACAATTATATAAAAACACAGGAAATGTTACAGTTATACAAGTATTTTAAAGAAACGCTCATGGACAGTGATTGAAATATATAATAAAGCTAGAAAATTATGATAATATTTTCACTTCCAAAATTTTAACATTTCATTTAATAAATTCAAATCCAAGAAAAATGAAAAGTAAATTACAAGCAAGAATATGTAGTGTTTTTGAAGAATCAAAAAAGTAATGAGATCAAATTTAGCGAAGAATTAGAAAGGACAATTCAAAGCTAAATTGAGGAAAGTTTGGTTAATAATCATTATCAGTCTTTATCATAATCTTTGCATATTTCATGTTTGGTGTAGAATTTGTGATAATAACACCAATTGTCACCATTAAATGAGATATTGACGATGAAGCTTTTCAATCTTAGGATATAGAAGGCTTTTCTGTGAACATTTCTCATTTAATTGATATTGTCAGTTGTCCTTTTCCTTCAGTTTCTCTTAGATATTTTTTGATATTTTAATACCTGATAAATGTGATATTCATTTTTTTTGTTTTTTTCTGCTTAAGTTTTCTCTGAAATTCCCCGCATGATATTGTTTGTTGTCATTTTCTACTAAATGACAAAAACCGAGCGGCATTGTCACACTTTTACATTTCAATTTTACATTCATTTAACTAAGTGCAATTTTGATGAAAATTTTCTTGCATTATTTTTTTTCAAAGCTACTTAAAATCATTTAAAAATTAATAGCAAAAGTGCAATTTTAAATTTTTATAAAAAATATTTGATAGTCACTTTTTAATCTTTTTAATGGATGAATGTAATAAAATAAGAGCAGAAGAATTAAATGTGATAGTTCACGATGATAATTGTTGTTCTTCTGAAATGCTTACATTTCTTTGAGAGTTTATTTTTTAGAATATAATCAGTTTCTGAGTTTTTGCTGTTCGAGCAAATTGTTTTACTTCCGCGTTGCTCAGCTGCTTACTGTGACAACCAAAGAGCTTTTTTTCTGTGGTATTTTTACCGGATGATATGTAAACAAAACATAAAGAGAGAGAGAGAGAGAGAGAGGGAAAGAGAAGTTAAAAGAGAGAGAGGGAGAATAAGCACAATGAGAATGAAAAGAAAGTTATGGTCATCACACCATCAAATAAATATGTATGTATTATTTCTTTTACTTTGGAACTTAGGTAAAAGTCACAAAAGGTGGAAGTATTTTTCATCGCATTTTTGTACATTCACTATCTATAGCAAATTTATAATTATTTAAATATTGAACAAATTTATTTCACAGCAAGTTCAGAGTACCCAATCCATGGGTAGAATATCCAACCAATGGACAGAATATCCAATCCATGGAGAGAATAGCCAAAATCCATAAAATAGTTCACGTGGATGAGATGATGATGACTCATCCATAAAAACTTCCTTTCTCTTCTCGTCCCAATGGAAACGAACTATGGATGGAGAAAGTTTTGGTGATATTTTAAAATTTTGTCTGTATTGTTTGCTGAAGTCCATACAATTTTTTAAATGCACAAAAGGCAATAACACTCCACCCCTCTTCTTTTTCACTGCAGTTGAAAATTTTTGAAAAACTCGTAGGATTTCCAGTTTGTAACATTTACTTCGGTTTCGTTTAGTTTAGTTCATTTCGACCAGGAACTTACTAACCCGAGGCAATCCATTCGGCACAGACTGGTACAGTCCGTTGAAAATGCTTCCGAGATTTCGAAGGTACTAGTTTTCTACCTTAGGTAAACAGCTTGAGTCATTGATGAGCAGGGTGGGAGGTTACCTCATCGTGCTTAAAACACTCTCAAAGCTTCAATGAATTATAGACATTCTTCAGCTGTTGGTCATCTTTCCATCATTACCGGTTGTCGCATACGCTTATAGTATTTCAGTTAGAGCAATTTGATTATAATTAATTATTAGCAGCATGCAATAATAACTTGTCCTTTAATTAATGATGAGCAACAATTTCTTCAACTGAAAGCTAATTCTTTACAATTGTAGAGATTTCATAAACTGACTATTCATACTAGAGACATTAAGATATCAATATCCATCATTATTAAATACTCTGTGAATATTTTTGCTAATTTAAAAAACATTTCTTTAATTCATTCACAATATTTCAATGACATTGAGATAGTTTATCATTTGTGTATATGAGAAAGAAATAGCATTATAATTAACGTAACAATTTCATTGTAATTCATTGAAATGTTGTTGTTGTTGTTGTTGTTGTCACCTTATTGTTGTTATTTGATATTTCTTCTGCTAAATCAAAATGAAGGGAAAAACCTCAGAAAACGCCATTTTCTTTTTTTTTACTTTCATCGTTATTAAATAGTGGCTATCCATCGAAACATTTCTCAATAATTATTTCGATATTTATGCATTAATTGAGCATTGTTTCTATTATCATTTATTTCTACGTTGTAGTTAAATCTAAGAGGGAAATGGAATAAATAGCGCAATGAATGCCGGCTGGCGTCTATTGTAAACCAATTTTTATGTGTAGGATAGATCGGTATTTTTTGCAGATATTACGGATATTACGTTTGCATTTATTAGTGAAGTTCACAATGTTCTTATTTATTAAAATTTGTGACAATATTTGTAGTTTTTTTTACTGACAGCTTTATTGAGAATTATTATTTTTTTTAGAGAAATTGGTATAATTTGAATTAAAAAGATTTGTAAACAAAAAGTAAATTAATTGAAAATTTCTAATTGCATTATTTATAATAAACTAAACTGTAACATATCGAATTTATGAAAAGAAAAATATGAAATGAAATAAAACAAAAACAATTAGTTCAATTTTTCATCGACAATGATTCGTAAAACCGGAAATGTAGACTTTCAAATAAATGGAAAAAGAAAAGCGGTTTTTATTGAGATAAAGTCAGAACAGGAAAAAGTTTTTTATCTCTTTTGTTACATCAAAAAAATCAGTTCGCAAATTTTTTGACCTGCGAAATGTTTGGAATTTCATCTTTTTAAAATCTTTATTACAAAAAACTGAAAGTAAGCTGTGAGAGGAGGAAAAGAGATTGATGATGTAAAGAGAAAGTTTTTATGGTCAAAGTTTTTCCTTCCTTCATTCTATCCAGATCTTTCATTCTATTTGAATTTTGAAATTTTGACAGCTAATCATACTTCATCATCATTCCCTTTCTGGCATTCTTTGAAATATGTCACATGTAAATTAAATCGAATAAAACTGACTGATCAAATCGATAATTTAGAAATTAATTTATTTCTGAGCACTATGCAATAAATTTATTTGTTCCGTATTTTATTCTTATATTTTCGATTTAGCATTATTATTATAATTTTTCAAATTCAATTATTTTTTATTTTTGATTTGAGACGATGGAATGTAATATTGGAAGATATAATCAAACAAATTCAATTTAATTTATTTGCTTAGTAATGTATTATTTGTTATTTCCGACTAATAAGGAAATTTTCTTTGCATTGTGAATTTTTAAAATTTCATTGCTAGTTGTTTTATCATTTCATGGATATTCCGTATAACAAAGTAATTTATCAATTTAGAGGAAATTAGACATTTCCATTAATCAACGATAGACAAATCTATCAGTTTAGTTCCGCCAAATTTTTTTTTCAACTTCATACGATAAATTGAATTTTTATGAATTCTAACTTAAATGAACAAGTTCCAAAGGGTATGATTTCTGTAGATCTGCCTTTTTGTTGTCTGCTACCTATTATCTCTATCGTACATTTGAACAAATAAAAATATTTTCGATGGATTTTAATTTCCTGGTAACGAACGATCTGCCGTGATTTAGAGCAATTGAAGGTCATCGGTTTAGAATTTACTGAAATTTCAAATGTTCTCAATTTCATTTGAATGAGTGAAAGAAAAACTAATTCAATTCAGTTCTTTTTGTGAAGAAATGATTTGTTGCTTTTAGAGAAAGTAGAAGTTATGGTATTGTATTTTCATTCTTATCATTCTATGTTTTTCAACTTTTCATCTAAATTTGAACACACGTAATTTTTCGTTTATAAATCTTTAATTTTCAGAAAACTGAAATGATCGTTTAATCTTAAATTTATGTATCGTAATTTAATGTTTACTCTGTTCTGAACGATTCGATGCTACATAATCCGGTATGACGTCACTTCAAATTAATGACCTGTTTTCTATAAGAATGTCCTATGTTCGTTTACTTGTCTTGGAATTTTTAAAATTTGAGCAATTACTTGAATGGCTCGTACTAATTGGTTTAGACTTCTCCTTAAGTAACCTCAAATTCTTGGAGATTTCAAATTTTTGGAGATTAAAATTTATGAAAAATTATAATGAAAGTGAAATTAAATGAAATTCTCTTATGGAATAAATTCAAATAATGAGTTCATATGGGAATTAAATTAGATGAAAAATAATTCCAATGTTTTATAGCATATCACCGGGTAATAACCTCATTATTTCTATGCATATGTTGTCGCCTTGTGCGCCATTTGTAAGTTTCATTTTTGCAGGACACATTGCATCATCGAAAATATTTCGGTAAATTTGCATCATCACCTACTACTTCCAACTCTTTTAACATGGTAAGTTACGAATTATTTCTAGAAGTATTAAATTTAAAATTCCATATTTACAAGATAAAAGTTTTCTTTAAATGAAGAGTTTTTTTGTCTAAAATTATATGTAGATTTTAATAACTTTCAGATAATCCTATTCAAACTTTGTTCGACTTTTTTCAAAATACTTGAGAAAATGGATGTTAATTTTAGATGACCGAAATGCCAGGCCATCATCATCGAATACGAAAACGTCGTCGAGGTGAGGTAGCGAATCCAGCGAATACTTTGGATGGTTTAGTCGCTAAACGTGCTGATGATGTTGGTGCTAGGGATAGCCTCCATAAGAGATATTTGACCGAAGCTGAAGCAATCGAAGCTCCAATCGATGATCAGGAAATGAATATTTCTTGTTTACCGCAATAATTTTGTATGGTAGGATAGATCAATATAAGAATTAAAACTATTCGACTATTTTCCAATAGTATATACTTCCAATAACTATTTTAGCGTATTGAAAAAGATCCTGACGTGTCAGCAAGAACATGTTCCGTTTGTGGTTATCAGGGAAAATGGGTTTCGGAAATGATTAGACATAAGCGCGTACATACTAACGAACGTCCATTTCGTTGTAAATATTGCTCTCGGACAAGCAAGTGGAAAGCTGACCTCGTCCGACACGTTGCCAGTATGTTAAATTAATTTTCTTTCTTATAATTTCATTCCAGCTATTAATCTTTTTGCGTTTTTTCAAAAATTAATAACTAATATGTATTTGATAAGAATTAATTTAAAGGCTTCTTCTCATCCTTTACATATTCATATTTTCAGTTTCTTTTTAAAGAAATTAACATCAGAATTTTAGACTAAAAAAACCAATATTTACCAAAAAATTTAGGCTAAGAATAGAATGTTTTAGAATAAACAATATGGCATACTTTTCTGATAAATTTAGAGAAAGAAGTAGAAAGGAACAAAACTAAATAACCTATTTTATTTACAGAAACGCATGGAATACGAGTGGTTTCAAAATATAGTCGAAGTAAAACATTTCATAATAACACCTCAACATTTAATATGGCAAATAATACAAATAAATTAAATGAAAAAAAAAGAAATCGCTTAGAGGTATGTAAGTATCATCCATTTCCATATCACGCACTCTCTCTTAATTATTCTCTCAATTTAAGGTATTATCGCAGATGCAATTACCAATAGCTGAAATGATAATGCTTTTTTATTTTTCTCTAATAATTAGTGTTTATTATTGTAATTAAAATTCGGTAAATTATGGTAATATCTGATTGCGTACATTAATGTTGGAAGCATTCATTTAAAAAATTTAATAAGCTGTTGCAGATATTGAACGATTTAAAAAATGATAAAGATATTGCACTGAAATGCCGAAAATCTGAAACACTTCGATTGTCGATTATGTATCGATGTGTTATATGTTTGTTTGAACAGGTTGAATAACTTTAGAAAATTTTCGGAAGCTAAATGATTATACTGTGGTAACATTTTAGTATGTTGCATTTCTATGATTTTTAGTTAATTTTAGGATTCAGTGCTTGTTTTGATGAGCCATTTGAAGAATGTGCATAATGTGCTACCATATGAATGCCATTCATGTGGTAGCTCGTTTATTGATGCTCATACCACCATGAAACATTTCATTGAAAAGACAACATGTAAAAGAACTGATCTCAAAATTAACATTGCACCATCAAGTATGACAAAAAATAATTTTAGTAAGTTTATTATTATTTCTTTTTCCTAATAAAATCTTTTATTGCTAAATGAAGAATGCTATAATAAATATTTCTTTATTTGCTCTTCAAATGTTTTAAAAGTTTTTAAATTGATTTGTTAAATATTTTCAGATTTAAACCCATCATATGCACTGCTTGATGAAGCTGCTAAACGAGCTGCTCAAGAATTGTTTGGTAAAAGTTCGGTAATTACTTCATCGGTCATATCAACTAGAAATGTAACTTTGCCAGCAACACCAGTTAGCAAATATGAAATGAAACAGCCGTACGATAATAATCGAAATGGTACGTAAAGAATATAAAGATGTATTATCATTAATTCAGATGATGATTTTCATACTCATAGATAAATTAATATTTGTTGAGCGATCATTGCTACTATCATCCAATAAAACGATTACTTTAAGATTGTTAGAGAAGATTAACCAAAACCTTCAAAGCATATCCTTTGTCAATCATTAATGAGATCTTCTATATCATCGTGGTGATACTACTGAAGTAACCGCTTTCAGAAATTTTATAGTAGCACATTGAAACTTTACTCTGACTGAGTCATTTTACATTTGAAATCATTTCATAATATTCTCAACCTTTTTAGAAATAACCTGTAATTGCATATTTTGCAATTGGACTGCAAAAAAAATGTGCGCAATGGAAGAACATATGCGCATGCATACAGCAAATTCATTCCCTTTGTTACAACCCATAGATGAAATGGTTGCAAACTTCACTGAGACTCAAATGAAAATGAACGCGGACAGCACTCCCGCGACGGAACAGGTGCTCATATATGACTTTATAGATTTCAATTTTAATTATTTATTTAATTATAATTTTTCATGTTTTAATGGATATTGTTCATCTAACATTAATGTTCCAGGCACTGGTCGCATCAAGATATTTCGATTTTAGAGCGGTATTATCAGTCCTGAAACAACAGGCTACTTTCGATCCAATGGTAATTCCTTTATTATAAAAATATTTCAAATCAATTCTGAAATATTACGGAATTTATAAGAGTGGAAACATCAAAGAAAATACAAAAGATTTTGGAACTGTTAGAAATTCAATTAAATTTTAACGATTTCATTTCTTGTGGCAATCCAGTCCAAGTAGCATTTATTCTATTATTTACAGTATCATTACATGCCAGAAAAAGCTGTACACTCAATTTATAAATAAAATTCACGCATTACCCATTTGCCTATTTAATTTAAGTCATATAATTCTGATTTTTATTTGCGAGAAATTCTCTCATTGCTCAGTAGTGATTAATTATTGACCATCTTAATTCTCTTAATTAATAACTTCCTGAAACTCAATCAATTAATGATTTTTAGTCATTGGTATTTTATTTTGGAATATGTTATGTTGACATTTGCGTTGCAATTTTATAATTTTGGGTTCAAATTAGAGAGCTATTAGATCATCTGTTATTGAGGAAAAATTACGATATTTCTGTAAAGGGCTAAACACATAAATTTTAGGATCTTTCTTTCACTATTTTCACATTGATGGCAATTAAAGTTTTTTGTTTGATAGACCAAAAAAGACCTTTTCTTCCTGAAGTTATGATTTTTGAATTTCTAAAGGAAGTTTACAATCTAAGCTCGAAGAAGAGAGAACGGAAATGACAAATCTAAAATTAATTCCACACCCAATACCAAATGCAATGAATTTATCTTCGATAGAATTTCATAACTATTTTCTGATATAAATCATAGAAATTTTAGGCTTATTATTTATAGTAGTTTGTTCGAAAAAGCACAAAGGAAAAAGTAATATTTGAGAGACTAATTTTGGCTTAACATATCCACAAATGTTTGTAATGTCTAATCGAAATATCTATCATTCTTCCAGTTGTGATTAGATGAGATTGAGTTTGATAAATTGTTAACTTTCTTCTTTTTTTTGACAAAAAAGAAAAGCTCTTTAAATTGAAAAGAATTTTCTCGCATTACACTGTAACCAATCAATTGTTAATGCTTACTTATCACAGTGAAACGCCCAAATTGATTTTTGTGAAAATTAAAATTTTACAACTTACGAAGGTTTTCCATATTTACGATTTCAGCATTCAATACGAGCTTTAACAACAACGCCGACATTGCTATCGGAATGGATGCCACCTGGCCCTTCAGCTTTTAAACAAGTGACTCCGATTCCGGAAGAATTTACACCAATTGTAGGCTTCACAACCTATCCCGAAATTCATGGGATCCAACAAAAAAAAGCTATCCAGCAACTCAGTTTTCTATTCTCTGATACCGTTGACAATATTTCATGTAATTCGGTGGCGGTGATTTCAAACTTCAATCCGGAAAGTCGTTCTGAAAACTTTTGTGACATGAATTCCACTTTATCTGATGTGCCAGAAAAGTCAAGCGTAAACTCTAACCTGTCCGACTTCAGCTCATCATTACCTAATCATTATATTTCTGAAAGCATTATCAAAGCCATTCAACATCATTATCAGCGATGCAGCGCATTATTTTCACCAGTTCCTCCAATAAAAAACAAAATTCAAAAATTGATTGGCCTTCCCGAGTCATCAGAAAATAAAACGAGCCAGAAAAATGAACCAGAATTAACTCATAACCTAAACATAACAAGAAAAGAGGAAGACGATTTTGTTGATGTTGTGCAGCTTGATGTTTGAATTACTAATCTTTCATTGTTTCAGTGTTACAAAAATAGTAATTAGAAGTTTAATAAATCTTAGAAGAAGTGAAAAGGGATATAATGAATTGGATAAATCGAAATGAAAAGATAGGAAATAATCGGTACGAACAATTTTATGAATATTTTACTTATTTCTATTAAAAAAAAAAGGAAAAAATTGCCTTTCATTTATATTATTCATTGATATTGTTACCAGTTTTTTCAATTTCTTTGTTTCATTTTCCTGTTTCTTTTCTATTTTCATTCTCTCATTGTTTATTGAAATCTCTTCATCATAAATTAAAAAGTACATTCTGTCCTAAAACTTCGAATTAAGAAAATTTCAGTTAATTTGGAAAAATAAATAAAGAGAAACCAGAAAATCAAAGAGCGTAATAATAAACAAAATGAAAAACTGAAGCCAATAACTATTACATTGTTTCAAATTTATTTATTTATTTTTTTAAAGGGTCCTTAGAAAAAAAATTCACTTCTCGTCTAATTTTGATTATCAGACTTTTTGATCTTCCAACATATTTTTCCTTTAAGATCGATTTTATTGTTTATAGCTTTGTTAGTATTCATGTCTTGTAAAATATGCAATAATATGTTGTGATATTATTCTGCTTTTGTCTCTTCTTGGACGTTTTATAATATTTCATTCATGTTATAGTTTATTATTTTAAATTTATGATGTTCATTTACGTTTGATTTAATCTCATAAGAACTATTCGATCATTTACTGAGAGGGATCCTTAGCTAAAAATATCCATACAGATATCTCTGTAAAACGGATAATGATGTCAATAATCAAATTGTGTCATTTATTACATGCAGTGATTAAGCTTTTTTGAAAGACTTAATGAAATCATCATCGGAACTCTTACAAGAATTTAAAATAAGCAGAAGTTACCGATTGATTAATTGTTGAATGGAACTTAAATAAAATATCGCTTTAGGAATTTAATTTTCTTTATACTTGAAAATCGTTTGTTGTTAATTTATTGTAACTGTTGCCTTTTTTTGCACAGACAGTTTTTCTTTAATTTTTGAACGATTCCCCGTCTACACCGCAGTAAAGTTCTTTCATCTACTTTATTCATCAAAAATTGTCCAATTTAATTGATCACATTCAATCAAAATTTCTTTATTGGAAAAAATAAAAGTTGTGCGGATTATAACTAAATAATATTGAACTTATAAATATATTTATGTTTTTAAATTAGAAGCATTTTCCTTTTGTCAGAAATTTCAATATGAGTTGTTTACTACACACTTTCAAATGCGTAACGATTCAATTGACCTATCAAACACTCTGTAATGAATTGAAAAATGACATGATGATAAAACTTAGTGTTTGAGGGAATACTAAGAGGTCGAACGAAACGCATTTGACGAATAAAGTCACAGCTCAGTTTGGACAGCTCACTTCTTAGCTTTCAGAGCATATTGCTGTTATAGGTTCTATGTTGCCCCTTTTTCGAGATACGGAAAAAAGAAAGGAAAATGGGTATATAAACAAACGTTTGTTTTCTAATTCTAATTCACATATTCCTACAACAAGTACCGAATCAGGTTTCGTTTTACACTTCCTTTAACGTAATTTCTCGTGGTCCGTTTTTAATGGTTGCAGTATGTGGAGTTTAACGTATTCTTTAGGTTTTATACGTCACTAAAGGACAGATTTCTGACTTCAGTGATTGGCACAATACCCTTTTTGTAGCTATAAATTTTTCCTTCTTCCCTTTGCTTCCTTTCACTTTCTTACTCCACGTGGAAAAAGAATTGATGACATGGTGTTAATTAATTTATATCAAATTCTATTCTGCCGAATGTTTCATGTTCTTATTGCTTTCCTCCTACTCTCATTGATTTGACATATTCTTTAAAAGTGATAAATCGTACCTATAAAGATGGCGCTCAAGTAGAAGTGAAAAAATTGTAGATATAGATCTCGATATTAACATATATTCTAAATGTCTACGTCAGTATTTATGATAGGTCTCAATATGATTGCAAATCTCAGTATTACTTTTTTGCTCTACTTTTAGAGGGCGATGTGCAGGATTGAGGCCACCCAGCTTTCCTGGATTTGTGGTGAGAGTCGATGGATTGAAATGCGAAAGTTCAGTGTATCATATTTATGAGATACAAGCTAACCTAGCTGTGAATGTTTGCAGGATGCCTTTTGGTACAGCAGTAAATTTCATTCTATACGTGTTCATTCCCTAGTATAACTCTGAAGTCACAAGAACGATTTATCATTTTAACGACGTATTTGTTGAGATCGTCGAATTTACGAGGTTCTGATTTTCTAACATAAAATTGATTGTATACTTTTGTAGCGGTGAATCGATGCAGAACTTCAAAAACCTGTTCTATGGAGAAGTCCAATTGCATTTCTATCTTGCTTGTTTTCACACATTCATTATCGTTTTTTAAAGTTTATTCAATACTGGAAAATGATGCTTATGACGTACTAACTGCTGTTTTCATTTTCTTTTGATTACTCAATTAATCTTCAGAGTTTTGCTTACAAATAGTTGTGAATAATATTTGCCTTGTACAGATAAGTTTTTTTTTTAAGCAATTACTTCCGGAGATTTTTTTAAGCAATTATTTTTCTTATTTGTGCTGTTTGGTAAAGGCTTGGCGGTTTTTATGAACCTATGCAGTTTTGAAGTTTTGAACCTATGCATGTTCCAAAAGAGAATTGCTAAATCGAGGAATTACGCAAATCATGGCTGCAGCAGCTTTCTACTATTTGTATTGCCTGCTAAATAAGTTCGTACTTTTTGTCATCAAGCATGCGAAGATTTTTAAAAATTTTATATTAATAAAGAGGAAATTAGGAAAATTCATATGATAAGGCGAATTTATATTATTTTTTTATTTTTACATGACGAGTAATAGGAAGTGAGTTATATCATTGAAGTAATAGTAATAATTTTATTCGTCATGAATTCATTATAGAATAATTAAATTTTATATAAGTTTTGCGTTTTTTTCCACTGCTGTCTACTCAATTCAACATGGTGGATATCACTAACCGCAATAAGATTCTTAAAATTTATCTTGTTTCATTCTAATTAAAACCGGTTCTAAATAGTGGTTACTTGTTTTTATGTTTATGCTAATTGTTTTAATGCGGTTAATTTTTTTAAACAGTTAATTTTTTCATGTCATTACGGATCTTGAAGTATTTAAAAATTTTTTGACGATTAACTGATTGAAGATATATGTCGCAACAGTTTGTGAATCCTGAAAGCTTTATTTTCCTTTTTTTTTTTCATTTTTTATTTCCAAAAATTTGTTGCAGGAATAATTTTGAAGTAAACAATATATGGGGGGATGTCTCTGCAAAAGGAAGCGATTATCTTCAGAACGTAATCGAGATCGAAGGCAACATTCCGGCATTAACAATAGTAGGGAAGATCCATGTAATAATGCTGTCCAACAAGTTCGAAGACGTTTGACATCACGGACGCAAGTTGTAACACTTGCAACTCGAATGCCATCTTTTCAGGGTGACGGTAACCATGTTATTGAAGTTTCATCATTTTATGTTCGTATTTTCATTTCAGCAGTTTGTATAAATTTGAACTTATGTTAATGATATGCCATTTGGAGGTTATCACAAGTCGTAAGAGTTTTTTTGAGAAGTTGCTTTCTATATGGAATAAGTTTTCCAGTTTTAGTTAACGCTCGAGCCATCGAAGACATTGAGGCTGATGTAAAGGATCTGATATGCCAAACTCTAAAAATGATACGATATGTGGTAAGCAAGTAAGTTGCCTTTTTTCCATACCAAAACTTACGCCAAATTTTTACTGAGACGTTACTAACAGATGTGATGGTGCATGTATATGTCTTAACATTGTAGTCAAAATATTTTCCACGCAGTAAATTTTTCAGTGATCAAGAGCCACCCACACAACTGCTGAAACTAAATCTGATTGCCGATAAAGAAGGTGGTTGGATAATGGTCGTCATGTGTTTAATTGATGTTGTTCCTGTTGAAGAACCACTTGGCCCTGCTGTTATCATTCTTTTCCTGGATGAAAGTCCATTGCCTACAAAGGTTGTTATTAACATTGATTCAGTATTTGGGATGGGGTTTTAAAAAGCATTATTGGTTTAGTTATAACAGTTTATTGTGAAATAGAGAGTCACTGGAGAATTTTTGAAGATCTTGTAGTTTTTTTTTTTTTTGGAGATCATGTTTGATGGTTTTATGATCTTTATATATATAAGACTAAGAAGTAATACCAACAAAATTTTCGGTTTTAGACTGCTATGCTTTCCAATGTCAAATTAAATAGAGTTAATAAAGACGGAATGCAAGGCATACAAGACGTATGTCTTGTATTCCGTCTTGTGTCTGTCATCTCTCTGTTCCTATTTATTCCACTATTTTATTAATTTCGAAAGGAAAGGTTTATTGTAGGAAACAGTAATGCGTTTACTCACACACCATATGCACTTAGAGTTGTCACATTTATCTTCCTGGCATCGCAATACATGTATTGTACTTGGATCTCTTGCTGAAAAGTTAGCTGGACCAAGCTGCATACAGATTTGCACAAACACTACTCTTAATTACCTTCTCAATAATCTCGTAAGTTTTCCAACAATTTTTTTCATTACTTTCATAATCTCTGACAATGCAACCATTGTTTTTCAAGTGCATTCCTCTGATTAAATGCAATGGCAAGGATCGGAAATATTGTTAAATGCAAAATAAATTTATTTTTTTCTTTCGGTAGTATTAAAAGAATTCAAAAAAATGTTGAATAAGTTTGTTTTTTATTCCGCTTGTGTAGATATCTGGATTTTCATATGTCATCCATTTTCCATTACTTTTCTTGCGCATATAATATTTTTTTCAAGCAAAGTTTTTAAAGGAACCTACGGGTGATCCGCAAGTTATTTTGTCTTCATTGATTGCTTTGGAAAAATTTGCCCAAACAAGCGAAAACAGGTTAACAATATGTCGACGACTGGAGCAAATGGAACGGAATCCATTGTCGGTGGGATTAAATTGTGAAGTTTACTGGTGTACCCAATTTATATTCATAGTGAAGCCGTGTTCGATGTAGATCTCTTATTTTAAATACACATAAATAGTTACTCTAGAGTTGGCTCAAAAATCAGTTTATATGGCAACAACTTCGGATATTTTTACCCTTGCAGGTCTTAGAGTCATGGTTAAGTGATCCGAGGATTGAAAATGACTGGTTAAAGCAACAAGTTGCATTTTGTGCTCAGTGGGCGTTGGACAATGTCTGTGAGTATTTTCATTAAAACATTGTATGAGGAAATCTTTATTGGACTGTTATTTGTCTACTTGTCAGAATTTTTTTTTGTATTCACCAAAAATAGAATCAGTTAGACTCATTCATCCTAAGTCATAAGAGTGTTCTTTTTTAGCTTTGCTTGTTTGAAATGAATTGACTAAATTTTTGAAATAAAAACATGGAAACGTAGAGACGGACCAGCAGAACTATTGATATCTCTCTTTCGCATACAGAAATTTATGACAGATAGAAATTATAATCTTAGTATCAACCTTATGATTATAGAAATTTGTAGTTGTGATCGAGAACCGTATTCCCTCATATATGACTATAAATGTTGATGACATCAATGCTATGTTAAATCATGAAGATGTCAGCGAGTATTTGAAAATTGGTCCTAACGGCTTAGAGGTAACCACTGTTTGCTGCAGCAACTTAGCAACTTTTCTGGGTAGGATAAAATAAATATGGTTGAGTAAAAAAGATTTTGTACTGTTGCGAATATTTGGATATGGAACCAACTATGAAAGGTTTTAAATACTGGATAGGAAACAGTGCAACTTATGTTTTCATTTCGTAGCATAATTGTTTGGAATCTATCAATTTCCAATTTACAATATTAGTTTTGAGTTACCCTTATCTACATTTTCTACAATTTTTAGGCGCGATGTGATGTTTCATCTTTTGAATCAGTTCGGTGTACTTTTGAAGCTACGCATGGAATTTGGTTTTACGAAGTTCTGATTCTAACTCCCGGTGTTATGCAAATTGGCTTTGCTACGAAGCAGAGTCGTTTTTCAAATCATGTATACTCTTTAAAATCTTGCACCGATTTAAAGCCTCCCAAGTTATCAAATAATTGTCTGAATAGAGCTGATCGTCATGAGTTGAAGACTTTTCTGGTTTTTCATTATTAGGAAGGTTACGGAATCGGTGACGATGATTGTTCAATAGCGTACGATGGTTGTCGACAACTGATTTGGCATAACGCAGACTTCATGAAAATCGAACATAATCACTGGAAAGCTGGTAAGACTTTTCAGAAGGGGGAAAAGCCGAGCATTCTATTGTGAACATAAGCTTGATGTTGCTGATAATCATGCTTCAGTAGTTTATGTTGCATGAATCTTCTGAAAGGCTTCTGTTAAAAGATGTTGCGAAAAAATAATATCTTGAAATTCAGACTCGTTATTAACCAGTTCCAACTGCAATGTCGATGTTTTTGAATTATTTGTAAAGGTGCTTTTATCCTCTACGAAGTTCATAATATTCAAAAACAGATAGGGTAATTTGGGTAAAAATGAGATCTGGTAAAAACCAGATCTTATTTTTAACTATCACCTACCTTCCGGAGTTTGCTAAAAACATATGTAATTTTTTGAAAGCATTGTGACCGTCTTTTATACTTCTGCATGGACTTTTATCACTACGTTTTACACTGCGGTTTTCGTTTTTCGAAAATTATTTGAAACATTTATCAAGTCAAATAAATTAAGTAATTTATAATATTGTGCGAGTGACAAATTCTGATTGTAATGAAGATATCGAATTTTGGTTTGAATTAGATTGATTTATCAATGGTAAAGGTAGGATTATATTTTTCACTATTTCAGTTTATAAAATGAATTGCAGGTGATATTCTCGGTTGCTTACTGAATCTAGAGGACGGCTACGTACAGTTTTATCTTAATGGTTTATCGCTTCGACAGCCGCATCGCGCATTCCTCAATAGGCGGAATAAAAATTCAGGATTTTTTGCAGCTGCATCCTTTATGAGCTTTCAGCAGTGTCGTTTCAATTTTGGTTTAAAACCGTTCAAGTTTGTTTTTAATAAAAGTTCAGAGATACAACTGGCATTTGAATTTTTCTGCAGGGATTTTTTGGATATGTTTTTGCTTCAAAGATTTTTAATTAGTTTAACTGGGATCAATTTCCGAGATTTTACAATGCTTGTAAAATAACTGTAGAGTTTTAGATTTCCTCCTGCGGAAATATCATTTAAAACTTTCAACGATTACGGCACACTCTTCCCTGAACAAAAAACCATCCTCCCACGGTCTGTTATTTTTTTATGCTGTGAAGAATTTCGAAAATATGCGCAACAAAGATGAGATGAGAAATTTGGTGTAACTTTCGGTGTAATAAAGTTTAGTCTTAAATTTCGCAGCCTTTAATTTGAAAATTTGCTTCTGTTTCAAAGGGTTTGTAATATTTTTTTTTTTTAAATGCTTTAAGTTGATACTGTTTTATTACAGGCAGCGAAGAATTGAACTCCTTACACAAATATCTATAGAAGATGATGCATGCACTTTATGTTATGCAAATTCAACTGATACTGTTCTAAAGCCATGCGGACATGGGTAAACTTCCTAAAGTTTCCTTCTTTATTTAAGAAATTGAATTTTACATCTCCATAAAGTTGATGAGGGGAAGGAGTTAGTCAATGTTATATATTTATATTGATGAGGCAGTCAAAAGATTAGTCAATGTCATGTTTTCAGCGGAATTTGTTATTCTTGCTCCGAGCAGATTGAACTTTGCCCGCTGTGCCGCAAAAAAATCGTAGAACGTGTAAAGGCTTCTAAACGAATCTCAGTGCTAATGCAGCATAGTGGAACAATGCTAGATAATACTACTGCCGACAATACATCCTTGTATGATATATGTTCACATTCCTTGTAATAAACATTTTTATAATTGAAATTAATTTCAAAATTTATTTTTGAATACAGATTTTGCTATAAATATGGGCTGGATTGGTGAAAATAGATATTGTTTCTTATTCAGCAATAATTTTTATAAACTTCATAGTATTTTATGAATCAATATCATATTCAATTGAGTGATATTAAAAATAAGATTCGGTTATCTTTTGGTTCTTGGAAGAGCGAAAAATGGAGTACGGGAAAAAAGAGGAAATAACATGATTGCCTATTCAATTTAAATTTTGCATTAAGTTCTTGACTGTAACGTTTGTACAGATAGCACTTATAATTTTGAAACCTGACCACTTCTACCCGATAGGAAGTAGCTAGAAATAGTTTTCCTTCGTGCCATCTTATTTGCTGGACTATAAAATTTAGAAATGATACTACAAATAGCTTGTGATTCGCCATTGTATCCATATATATATATAAATATAAATATATATATACTTTCACATCGCTGAATTTTGGTAGAAACCTAAAATATTATGTATTACATGTTGATGTCATCGCAGAATCTTCATATCAGTTTACTTATCGTTTTCTTGATAACCGAGGTGTTTTGTAATAAAGTTTACGTGCTTTTGAAGCTCATTTAACCAAGGGCTTTCATTCAATTTCACTATTCTCACTTTTTCCTTCCTTAATCTTTTAGAATTTCGGTATTAATGCGGGAAAAAGGAGCTTTATCTTATATGATGCTTTATGTTTTTAATTTATGCATGTTTGCACTTCTTGTTTTATCTTTTTTATCGCAGTGATTCGCGAGGATAATTGTTTGTGTTATCTATTTTATACTTTCATTTTCTTTACTTCCTTAAATATTTTTACTTTGCATGTAATTAAGTGTTGAAATGCATTGGGTTATATCAGGTGCTAATTTCTTGATAAGAAACTCCAGAAATTTTCTTCGAAGTTGTTTTGGTTACTGATGAAAATTTCGAAATTACTGTTCTTCAACAGCGACTTGTGCAATCAATTTTTGATTTTTTTCATATTGAAATGGCTTGCTAATGCTTAATTACAAATGATTGGCTTTTCAAATTGTAATGAATTGTTTGGTGGTATCGTCATAAATTCAGAGGGTATTGGACAGCATGTTCGGATTTGTGTACTGTTGCAACGTCCAACTGCATTTATCATAATTTTTGAAGATCATGCATTTGTCGAAGTTTCATTTTCAAAATCGCATCCTTATTACCTTTGCATGACATGAAAATAAGTTATATTGCTATTAGTCTTTTTTCGTGTTTCAGCCATGACTAGTTTCCAATTCTATTAATTAATTAATTGCAAATCTAAATTTGGGAATAGGTAACATACGCTCGGTAAGTGAAAGTAGCTGAATTTTAAGTAAAATAGCAACCAAGCACAATGTGTTGATATTCTAGTTTAGTTACTGTTACTTCACTTGAGGAAATGAATTTGCACAAGTTGATTTTTTTGACATACATTCCGTGAAAGTCATAAGACGTTTCTCTGTCACCACCGATCAGGTGCCTTGAACACGTGTTGATACCATTTTGTTTTGATTTTGTTTTCATTTTCAGATTGAAGGGATATGGCTCCTGTTACAAAGATCGGCCGGAAGCGAAAAAGGGTAGAGCTTCTTGATGAAGCAGAAGTCATTAGTGTTCAAGGGGATGAGGCGGCTGATGTGCTTGATGTATCCAGTTCGGTAAATGCATCTGTAAGATTTCTTTATCCTTAAATCCAGTTATTCTTATATCTTTTATGTTCCTAAGATAAAATGTCGAACTAGAAAAATGTTTTTCAAAATATATGAATAAGTTTGTACAGAATGAATTCTAAGCACTTTCTTTATTTTAGGAGGTACACGAAGCTGGCACTTCTAAAATAGATCACCGCCTTCCAAACAGCAATAGTAAGTTGATAAAATGATTGAGATTTTGAGGCGATCTTTGCATTTCAACCGGATCAATATATTATACAGGGAAGTGTGATTCTTTTGAAGACCTTGTGAATTTGATATTTTAAAATTTGCTTCATTTTTATTATCCGATATTCAGAAACTGCTTATCTTCCATATAAAGAGGGCGAATGGTCACCACTGTTTTTATATCGTACCCCATTTGACCTGACATTGGCAGCAATACGGCAGTCAGGTTCTGAAGGTATTGGACGCTATGAAATTGGAAAAACTTACGGAATGGATACGACAACAAAAGCTGGAAATCGTCGAGTTTCAGCAAATATTGTGAATGGAATCAAATCCTATCCCGATCATTTTGGGCAATATCAGAAGATGGAAGGCAAAATTAGATGTATAAAGTAAGGCTTTCGTTCAGTTTTTTTTACGAAAAACTTATTGTGCAGTATTTAAAATTTTTTCCAGGTATTACTGGAAAGTAGCTGCTCATCCAGAGAGTTTCATTTACCTTTTCAAAAATTGGAAAGCTGTGGTTGGTGACGAATGTCCATTTAGGATTGGTGAAGTTTTGAAGTTCCCGAACACTAATTTGAGTACGTTTTTTAAATACATTCGTTTTAAATTAGAGTAATAATCAAAGTTACTTTTTCAGAAAATATTTACACGAAATATTTTTTGAAAAATCAACTTTGCCTATTACCCTGCTTTGACTATTTGAATTTTTTAAGCCAACTGTACATAAGGCTTTTGATTCAGGTACCCTGCGAATGAGTGATGTTTCATTGCGACGATTAATCGATATAATGAAAGTTCTAAAGGAACATCGCGTTATTGTAACAATTCATCATTTTATGAAAATTATCACGGATATGGAGGTTGAATATGGTATTCGTTATCAGGTATTTTGTGTCATGATTCTTTGACTGCTAAAGAAAATGGTTTTTTTTTCTTCTGGAAACGAACATACAATGCATGCAGTTTGTATTTGGTAATGCTTCAATTTTACCTTCAAAAAAACAAAAAGTCAGAATTATTTAAGTTTTGCTGTTTTTTCCTTTTCCAAACGTCGTACTGCGTTTATAATTTCTTCTGTCGTTTAGATTGATAAAAAGTCTTTGTTGAAATGCTTGAAAGCACTTGAAAAAAAGGGCTATCTACATATGTTCCAAACGGTTGTTGTTGAGGAGTTCCGATCGAATAAGGTAAATTTTTATTCGTTTAATACGTCATTTCTCAATAATGCATATGTCAATGCTGTCAGTTCCCATAATACAAATTTCTTCACTTAAATAACATAGTAGTTGATAGAAGCACTTCTCCAATAAGTACCATTTCTCCATATAATTTGATTAAAATATAGTTCAATTCCAGATTTTAGTTATTACCGAAAGTGATATAGCTGAAGCATCACATCCGGAAGTGGAAGCAGCTATACGCGTAGCTATCAGTGAATATAATGAAAGGGGACGTGTATTTCCACATGGGCAATTGAGGTTTGTTATAATTAAAAGAAGGAATACACAGATTTTTGGATCTACTGCTTTGACATTTGGATGTATCTTCATATTCTTTTTGTTATTTCATATTACTTGTTCTTAATGCAATTTTTCCCTCTCTCGCGCCCTTGTTCTTTGAAGTTTTAGACGGAAATTCAGTAAATGAAGAGTAAATACATTTCCAAAATGCTGTTCTAATGCTAGGCTGCTAAAGTGCAACCAATTTTTTTTAATTGGCTATGCGTACAGTAGTTTATGACATAATTTAAAAATGAAAAATATCAAAGTTTAGAACTACAATTTTGCAGACTCGGTCGTAAGAAATCAGAGAAAAGTGATGACAAAGCATCTGATTTCAGCCCGGAAGATATTGTAACTTTTTTTCTTATATATTCATTAACAAAATAGATATCATAACAATACGTTTCTTTCATTTTTATTATCAATTACACATAGCCTGATCGTGCCTTTTTGTTCTCAAATTTCCTTTTAATCTTATTCAAAAGCGGTTATCGTTAATGACTGTCATTTACAAAGTGTACTACAAATAAATCATTTGAAGATAGATGGTTTTTTACAAGCTTAGTTCAGCAAATGAATGTCATTCTGTAAAAGGCAGTAATTACTAATACACCAAAAATGATATCGATTCATAAGAAGAGTATTGATAATGCACTATTAATGATTCACACAGTTTAATTTGACGTATTGCAGGAAATGCTTGAAAATGACAGTTTGAATGAAATGACGGTTGATAAGAGACTGGCAATGTTTCGATTGCAAATGATGCGACGCTTATCCATAATTTTTCCTGAGAAACAATCTTATGTATGTAGTTTGCTGATTATACATTTGTTATATAGTGGCAGCACATTTAGTAATGATATCTTTTTTAGTGCTTTGACAAATACATCGTTTTATATTAAGTGATTCTTTGAAAGAAGAGGTTTTTTGAGTGTTTGCTAGCTCGTAAGGAAATTTATCTATAATTTTGTCGTGAGTATAGAGTTCTGATTACCAGAACTGATTATGAAGGGACTTATAGTAATCGATTCTTTATATCGACTGCATCATATAAAACAAGAGGCATTTAAAACTTTGAAAGTATTTTGTTTTGACTTTGAACATATTTGAAAATTTGATTTCGGAGTAGTGGTTTTCTGCAAGAATCGTGATCGTTTTTTCTAGTCATCGAGCACTTATTTCAATATATTTCCTGGTTTTTTATTGCTGACAGCAAGCTAAAATTTTATGTAGAGATTCACAAATCGTTAAGTTAACGGGAAAGATCACTTTTTCGAGGATAGGATTGTTTTAGGATAATTTTAATTTTTTTAATACTGCTTTAAATAATTAAATCAGATTTTCACCAGTGCTAATATTCGTACTTTTTTATCAAAATAGAACCAAATTACTTGCTGTTAAAAGTTATTTTGAAAACTCACAGGTTGTAATTTCCTTCTCTTTATAGCTTCTTTCTTTGTCATATATTTTGATTGTTTCGTATCTTATTGAGTTAAATTTTCATAAATTTGCAGAATGTTGTAGAAAGTCACTCCGGATTTCAAGGTGAACCACCAGATACCAATGGAACAAAGATCGTTCTTTCGCACACTGAGCATATAAGTGAAAATGCAATTTCAATGGATGAAAGTAGTTCAAATTTGGTCTCACCTAGTGCTTCGGCAACTAACGAAATAAAGCCAATGAACACTCGGCTGCCTAATGATATGTACGGTCAACAAAATAAAATGATTCGATGTTATGTAATACATCAGTTAGTATGGCACTCTTTGTACGGATTGCCACGAGGAACAAAGCCGAATGTATGGGAAAGGTGAATCGATTTTAATTAAGTTAATTGTGTTAGGTCATTATTGCCACTCAAATTATACTTACATAAGTTTGCTTTTTATTGGCATTGTGTGAGCACCGTACTAAATTCGAGAAAAATTATTCTTTAAAATATGTACTGCAGCATGTTGAATATTAAATTGGTTTTAAACTTAAACCGAGTCATTTCTAGTATGATGGTAATTAATACTGTAAATTATGTTGTTCAAATATAAAGCAGTAATTAAAACAATCTCGACTTTGTAAATGTAAAGCTGGTGTACTTTTGTAAGCTGGATGAAAATTTCTAGCTACATTTGTAGATAAATATCAAATTTCACATTAAATTTTGCATATATTGGAATAGGCAATGAGTAGATTTATATTTTTTGGGATAGGCAGTAGATTTATATTTATAAAATGGTCAGGATATAACCATAAATTAGAAATTGATTTTTTGACTTTCAAGTACGGGTTGCTAAAATTTTTAAATTTATTCTGCTTACTGTTTAATCACTGCTTAGATTTTATTTCATTTGTCAATTCCATTTATGATTTTTCTCCTTTGCTTATGTTTATGTATGTATAGGTTTCCACCTTATCAAGCGCCTGGACCAGGAATGCCAGTAAATCACTGCCCAGTATACGTAGATGATGAATCCCCATATCGTTTTGTTCCACCGATTCCACCACACCAGGATTTACCACATGGATGGTTCCTATTACAAGATTTGATAAATGTGTTGCCATTATCGATATACGTGTTATTTGTGAACATTAAGAACAAGGTAACTCAATTAAAATTGAAACTGTAAATCTATTTCACTATTTCTTTCTATTCTTTCTAATTTTCACAAAAACATCAATAAAATAAATATCAATAAAATAAAATTCATTTAATTTTGAATCATTTCCAAATAAATTTCCGATGTTTTTTTAGGTGGATGTAATCGAATCCTATTTGAGGGACCCAGTTTTGCGTCACATGTTGATTAGTGACATCCCAATAAATATACGTGTAAAGTTGTTAGGCAATAAAAAGGCTATACTACAGGTATAGATTACGAGAAGCTTTAAAGCACATAATAATCAGTTAGTTAATGCATTCATTTTTATTTTTTGCATTATTTGTAGTTAAAACTCAAGTTTTTGCAAATTTATTTAATTATGACTCGAACTTCTCACTTTTTGGTTTTTTTAGCTGGAGCATATTTTGCTTACTTTGTGTGGTTTCGGATTGGCAAGAGTGGGTCCGACTGTATATGCAAAAAAAGTAACAAGTGTGGAATTGGTAAGATTTTTTTCTGTCAGAAAATTTTGACGATATTTTCACTTCTAGACTTCCTCATTTCTAGCAATATTTTTATCTGTCTCGCAATGGTTATTTGCGCGATACAAGTACTTCGCGGAAGGGATACTGTCGTGTGTCAATGCCTATCGATCAATACACCAAATATGAATATGCATTCGACAAAATGGATGTAAGCTTAAAACAAATTAAGTGATTTCCTCAGTAATATGCAGTGACAATGAATTGCTGTTCAAATCAGATCTCATGTTTCAGAAATTTTCTTGTGATAAAATTAAGTAGTAAATGAAAAAGAATTTTATAATATTTTTAATTCTGTTATGTAGTTTTTTAATCTTTAAATTCAACTATTTGCAGGATATAATCTGTTATTGGCATCATTTACGAGCAATTGTGCAAAGCACACCGTTATCGTTCAGAATTGAAATACCAGTATTTTTTTTTTCGAATTTGCCTTGTGCATTCAATTTTAACAGTGCTTTGGACAAATCTATGATTGTTTCTGATTTCTCAGTGATGCGTTAATTTTGGATTCTTAAGTTTTATTTCAAATTTTAGGACGCTTCATATTACTAGAAAATTCAAAACACTAAAAAATTTTTTATAAAAGAGGTTTTTTCTCTAGTGGTTTGTATTATCTTCAGAAGAGAAGTCAGTACGAAAACAAAAAAGATCAGGGGTTTTAATCCATAATTGCCAGTTCATTAGCTTCATTTTCAACCCATTGTACTAAAATATGTTTGAAATATAGAGATTTTATTGAATTTTATAGAATTTTGTACAATTTTTAGCAGGAAGATGTACGGCTCTATAAAAAATATACAATTGGGATGTTCGATCGATCTCAAATTGTAAAACCTTTTGAAGACTTATCAACTGCTTTTTCACCTATTTTACCTCATGATGGTTGCGCAGGTTTTGACTCCTCATTTTTCATGTACGTTCATTTTTTAGATTGATTCACTAGAGACAAAGCAACATTAAAAAACTGGGATTAAAAATTGATTTTCTTTCATCTGATAAACATGCTCATTATTTAATGATAATATGATCAGTACACTTTCACAACCTCTCCACGTTCTTCAGCAGTTATTTATGAAATTTTCTTTAATGATTAATTTGTTTTGCAGTTTGTCTCACTTATTTCCTAATCAAACTGTTTTTACAGACATTTAAGAAGACACTGGGACCTCAATCCTCGACCAATGGAATTTGTCAATTGGTTTTTGCATGAATGGCGTCGAGCAACTGAAAAAACGAAGTCCCTTGTTGAGTCACGAGTAAAAAATTATCAGAATTCGTGGAATTCTTATTTCAGAGCTTTAGTACCACCAGATAGTGGTATCTTTCGAAGGTTGCAATTTAATTCATCAAATTTATTTATTTTTTCTTTATCTAAATGAATAGATATGATTTTTGAAACTTTCATTCCGGGAAGTTTAGGAAGTTTTCTTGTCAATAAAAAAGGATAAAAAAAATATTATAGTCATTTGCCTTCAAAAACTGGTGGACTCACTCTCAATTATTTCGTAACAAGACAAACAATCAATTGTCTTCCTTGCCTTATTGTTTCTGGTTCAACGGCTTTAAACCTATTCATAATTCGAGGTTAAATTACCTCGTTTGATAGAATCAAATTGAATTTAGTGAGGCAGCTTGAACTCCAAGTAAATTTATGTTTTTATAGAACGTGCAATGAGAGTCATGCACTGGTGCGAGCAAATCCTGGTTCTCTTGGTCGTAAAAGTAGCAGCTATAGTTCGAAATCATTTAAAGGAAAGAAGAAGCGTCCATATGATGAAGTTGATATTATTTCAGAGCAACGGCGTGTGCATTTGAGAAATAGATTTACTTTACTAGAACGCAATATGGTAATTTTTTTAGAAATTTTTACATCTTGAATTTCAAAACCTTCTGTATGCAGAGGCAAAACATGGATTATCAAATTTCGGACTGATAGAATTTTTTTAGTTGATCCTTATTCGAGCGGTTGGCTTCTTTTTGAATCCGATGTACCGATTCTGGTTGGAACCTGCTGTGCTTCGAGATATTATGCATGAAAATGTTCAGGTTCTATTTGTTTACAGTGATTATGCTTTTACTGCTGCTGTTTAGTTATCTCGTTTACTATTGAATTGTTAGTAAAATAATTTCGTGGTTTTTTTCAGTATCTTTTTCAACATTCTAGGAAGCACGTTCGAAAACGGTGCAAAGTTTAATGGCTGCTGGAGTTCGTGAAATGAAGCGTGCTGAGCGTGTAACATATCTCCAGCGGATCGTCAAGAATTTGGCTTCGTTCAGGGTTTATGTTATTCATACTGTACTTTCTGAACAGTAAAATGTTATTAATAGATTTTCCATTGTTTTTGCTTTAAATCATGTTGGAAATTTTCAGGAAATGAGGGCCTTACGAAGCCAGCTTGCTTTTCATCCAATTTCAGATCCAGTCTTGAAGAAGAAATTTTTCATTGAAGCTTTCAACAAGGCGAAACAACTACTATTTATGTAATACAAAGTTAAATTGTTTTTTCATGTTAATCTTTCAAAAACAGATTAGATCGAAAATCTGATCAAAGGTTTTGATTGGAATCTGATCTTATTATTTTGATGTAGAGAATCGTAAGTTATATATTTGAGGGAATCAGAGAAATTACCAAAAACCAGCGAAAGTGATGAATCATTCGAGAAATTTATGAGCATTGGTAAAATAAACATATCCACAGAAGTGCAAAAAACTATAGCAGTACCGATGCGATCGCAGAAACCGAAGGATCCAAACCAGATTCGTCATTGCGTTGCTTTCAACGTTATTGTGGCACGTTTTCTTGTTATCTTGTTATGTTTTTTCTCTCGAAAGACAGATTGTTTTAACATTGAAATTTATATATTGTTTTGTTACCTGATTTTTCTCACAGAAATTGTAAAAATTCCTATAAAAAACAAAAGCTTTTCTAAAAAAGCATCTTCTAAAGTGATCGACAGAACGCGAAGTGAGAAAAATTCTTTTTATTCTTTACTAGTAAATATGAAACAGTTCTGGTTTAAATTTTATTTTCAGGGAGCCTTAATAAGTGAGCAAGATTTAACAAATAAAAGTATGGAGTGTATTTTTGAGAAGTTGGGAGTTCCAGCTATTACGAGGGTACTTGAACAGCTTCGGATTGATGGCCTTATCACCAGACAACGATTTCCGATTGAAGATTCAAAATTTTCTTGGAAAAGCCAGGCAACATTATCATTTAAGTAAGTTTGAGTAATTTATGACGATGAGCGCTTTTATCATTGTTATGGATGTAGAAATTTAGTATCGGAAATAACAGTAAACGTCTTATAGCTTCCGACACTTCTTCAATCATCGTTTCCATCCAGACATGCTAGAACAACTTATTGAATCTACCGAAGAAATGAAACATGGCACAGATTTTGCTGCTGATGATGATAATGCTGGCACTGTTGCAGCTGTCACCAGATGCTTCTACACAGGAGTAAATTGAAACGCTTTTTTCGATAACCTAAAACTTTATACGATTTTCTTATATTTCGGAATTTTTAGGAGTAACTGTTTTCTTCGTCGCTCTAAGACTGTGGTAATGGATCATTATTTTTTACTAGAAAATTTCTATCTTGAATTTTTGCTTTATATTTAAATTGTTTATGTCAAAAATGAAAAAATGATTAGAATTTTTTTCTCGCACTTAACGGAATTTTTTTAGCCATTACTGAAAATAACAATGGATGATAATGTACTGGAATGTTTCGATGCGTCTTCTCAAGAAGTCCGTAGCAAGTTTTTAATTACGCTTTTCAGTTTTTGTGGTATATAGTGAAAATCAGTTAGCTTATATTCCATTTTTTTTAGGCACATTGTTGTTTTGTCCTATATATCTTTTTTACTAACATTTTTAATAGATCATGCAGTTTAAGTTAGAAGATTTCTTTATTGTTGTTTACTTCTATGATTTCAAGAATAATCGCAACGTCTATTCAATAAGTCGGAAGGTAGTTTGCGTTGTTTTAATTTATCTAGAATATCACACTATCTTTTGTTTGGAAACTTGCATGACACTGGTATCTGCAAGTTTTAACTTATGTTTATAACTCAGAAAATTTTAAGCAAATTGTGAACGCCACTAAACAGCTACGCTATTTGGAATCGGCGGATTTGCATTTGGAGCGAATAACAGTGAAGCCCGAAGGAGACTGCACACCATGTGATGTACCTGATTTGCAACGCGTTTTAAATTCACTGAAGCAGACTTATTCGTTAGAAGTAATAAGGAAAACTAATTTCGATGATTATTTAATGTTGCAATCGATTCCTTCGCGTTCACTTTTGCGTCGAATTCATACACTAATCAAAGAATCGAAATTTGTTGGAATGTCGATTGAGGAATTAACCGTGAGTATTTGAAGTTACGAGAGTTCTTACAATGTGGCCATTTTTTGGCCGAAGTTTTGAAGCCATACGTCCAATATTCTAGTCTAATTTTTCTCTTACTTTAATGTTATTTAGAAACATACTTTCAGATAATTTTAAAAAGCAGTGGTTCAGTAATAAGTTTGGCTGTGCAGCAGATGGAAACAGATTCGCAATTGGTAACCGTTGGTGTTGATACGGTACGGTTTGTACTTCCAGCGTACAGTGACTGTTGGCTTGTTCCTTATGGGAAACTTGTCTATGTACCAGCCCCTTGGTTTACGCCATCCGGTGAAATTCATGCACCTGCCGTAAGGTATGATTTTTTCAATTGTTCTAAAAATTCTTGAACGAGATTTTTTGAGTGATTCTAGAAAATTTTTTCGTAGTTTGATTTGAAATAGCAATATTTTCACATTTCAAAAGATGTGTTATCGATTTCTTTTTTTCTTAGTTTCAGTTTCCTGACATTGTATTTGCCTGAAATGGCTTAATAGTTATCTTTAAATTAAAGCAAATATTGTTTTATGGATTTGTAGAAATGTTATAAGTGTGAAGGATGCTTGTCTCAAAGTATATAAGATTGGCAATATAAGGTGGAACTTTTTAATTTAAGGTGGATGGCAGAAGGTGTCCTGTTCTCGATTATTAGTCGTCCTGGATGTCCTATTGATGAATTAAAAAAACGCTTCGCGTATGTTTTGCAACCACGAATGTTGCTGGAAATAGTTCGAATGTTGGAATTTTGCAGTTGCATTCTTATTCAAAAATTAACTTCTCGGACACTCCGAAGAAAATTTTTATTTAAAAATGGTTAATTCTAGCTTTATTAATTTCATTATTCAAGAAGTTGGAATATGTATTCATCTTAAAATATATTTTAAGTCTCTAAATTATAAGTAGTGAAAGCTAGCTTTCACTCAATATTCAGTATATTTTATTTTATTTTAAAATTTAAATGAGATTTTAACAAATTATGATTGTTTGTGAAAATGGTCGATCATTGCTTTTTTTCTTCTACATTTTCCTGCACTTCATATTTAGTCTTTGGCACTGAAATATCTTCAAGACAGGTCGGGTGCGGAAATAAATAACTAATTTACATTTTCCGATGTTTCTCATGCATTTTCAAGGGCGAAATTGCGAATAAAATGCAATGCAAAAGAAAATATGTTTTGGCAAGAATTCTGAAAGTAAATAAAATTTATTTTAAAAAAAAAATATAAAATAACTAAATGGCGTCAAGCTAATGTTCAAACTAGTTTGTGGCATTCAGGCGAATGATAACTTGATACAATATCTGTATCTACTGATTTTGCTTTTAGACCAAATGGAAACGGATGTCTTCTATGTATATGCGACCAAGAATGCAATGGAACAATTTTCACGAATATTTGGTACAATACCACTACCCTCAATTCTTAAATCGACTCGACCAGAGGACATTTAATCGCTGGTCCCAAGTTATGTGGAGTTTTTATGATTTTCAAACTTTTTTAGTAGTCACTGTAGCACTTCGTATTGCAAGCAGGTTTTAAATGATTCATTTTTCATTGGATTACATTTTTTGTTGTTCATTTGAATGTAGAAGTTAGAAGGAAGTAGGTGATTTACAAGAATTTTTTTCTGCTGACTATTTTGTTCCTTGCCCGTCCTTTAATTTTTTTTTCCGGACTACAGAATCATGTTCTTCAATTGCAAAAGTTTCATCTGTAACTTCGTGACTCAGTAAAATGGTCGAATCAGCTTTGTACATCTCCATTTTCTATTGAATAATTTTTCTTTATTTTATTCTAAGATGACACCAACAGAAGGAGTAAGAAGAATTGAACCATACTCAAACCGGTTGTTGTCAATGCTTCCTGTCCCAGCGATGGATTAAATTCTTTTTCTGTACTTTTCTCCCCTTTTTTATTTCCACAGTTCAGAGTGGGATTGAAGAAGTTTCGCAGTCAGCACAAGGTTGAGTTTTTATTAAACTAAAGAAGATGGACTAATTCATTTTCTTTCACATCATATGTTTTCGCAATTACCATCTTTTATCGATCAGTTCGCACCAGTTCTATTGTCGAAAAAAGCAGTTTTCCTTCTCGAGCAATTTTCCTTTTTTGTCTTTGTACTCCACGTACACTTCCTTCAATAGAGAATGTTAAAGATTTCTTTGCAAAATGAAACATGCATGTTGTTCTGTTCGGTTTTTGAGTATTTTAATACCATTATTAATTTTTCATTTCATTTTCAGTTTATTTTTCATACACTTTGATCTTCATACTCATTTAAGGTGTTTTTTTAGATGTATAGGTTTGATTTTAATGATAAATTTATAAAAACATGTTAAAAACCTGACTTTAGACTTACGTATCACTATTATTTTCATCCTTGCTCTATGAAGTTTATATGATCATAAACTGCGTTGAATCGAAAATTCAAGACAGTGAATGAACTTGAAATCAATTCATGTTGAAGTTTAAGCTCACACTGCAATGATTGCTAGCATTCTCTAAGAATTACTAAACTGAAAAAAAAAAACAAAACAATACAGAACACCTTAACATCGTGCTATTTTTGCATAAAATTAATTGCAGGACGCTCTTTTGCTAAATTTTAGTCTACTTTCATCTTTAACAGAGAATTTTTGCAGTGTTTATTAATAAAATATATAGCGACGATGCTGCATGTTTTTAATGGTCCAGTTGAGCCAGTTTCATTGGCTGAATTCCAAGAGGCCAAGGGAAAGAAAACTTTATTCACATATCGCACCGTAAGGTTTTCTTCTCCGAGTACTCATTATCATTTTATCAGTAATTGTGCAAAGAACGGACTAATGTATCACTTCATGAGTGCATTCCCTAACAATTTCAGAGAATTTCAAGACAAATACGCTTTATATGCTTATTTCCGCGCTCTCCGAACTGCATAACTTTAATTTTATTATTTGGTTGTTGAGATGTTTCTCTGTTTACTCAATCATATTCAGGACTTTCACATACTGTTTAACTTTCTTTCTCGTTTCGTTGTTAGCGCTGCAACTTTTTCGTCTCCAATAAGCAAAAAAGCTAGATTTCATGTTGCACTTCTGGTGGGAATAGTTGGAATGCAATACACTTCTTGCACCTTTCATGAAATTAAGAATTTTGAATGGAATGAAATAAATATTGTTTTTACTCGTGTAGATAAATAATAAGAAAGCGGAGAAATGAAACATCGAGGCTAGAAGTATTAATATTTCTAAAATAGTTTTGGTTGTGAATATCGAAGTGTAGATGTTTGTTTTTTGTGGGGTACCGCATCGTATGAATCAAAATGAGAAGTAACATGGTCTTCTATATCCGATGGTTTGTTATTGCTTGGAAATGTAAGACTCGAACTAGTTGCGGAAAATATGGGAAAAATCTCTTGCTGTTGCCTTCATATAAATAAAAACTGCATCCGCTGAAAATGAAAACTGGTAGCTTAAAATTGTCTGATTATCTTCTCGATGACAGCGACAGTGTCATTTTGAGAGCCTAAATTGTTTTCACAATTTTAAAAGGTTCTTTGAAAGTCTTTATTGTTTTGAAAGGGTGTCCCATGCGAATCGCGATGGAAAACGCTGGTCCGAATTCGAAGGTTCGTCGTGCGAAAGGTTTAGGAAAAGTGGATGACTGAAGAAATTTTGAGCAAACTGTTTTATGAAACATGCTAACTTGTGTAACAAAGGGTAAAGGGTTTGCATCAAATTATTTGCATCAAGCCGGCAATATTTTCCTTCAATATTGAAAATCTAATCAAGCATTCGAGTAAAGAGAATTTGCAATCAGAAATTGTTGGACTTGACACTGCTAATTCCATGCTTTTTTCTAAAAATTCAGATCCGTTCCTATAATAGATTTATCTAACAAATGGTTTATCTTTTCCCTTTCTCTAATAAATGATCTTTTCTTAGAAGCCCAATAATTTCCTAAAATATCAGGTGGGAAAATGTGCATCCTTTATGCTTACAATGAAAATTTGTTTTTCAAGTTACTTCGATCTTCACCGAACAATGCTATTGAATTTCTGATTGTAGAAGCAAAAAGTCAGTTATCATAAAGATGGACGACGATTTGTTGACGACAAAATTGAAAATGAACAAAGTGTTTCCAATCTATGGTCTACGGCTTTAACACGTTCAGTAGCACAGGATCTGAAGGATCGATCTAATGAAGATTTCACATCTAATGAAGATTTCACTTGCAATAACGGACTTACACGACACGGTGAATTTTTTTGATTTCATTAAGGCAAGGAAGAAAAGATGGCACATCGATACATCTCCAGTTCTTTCAAATTCATTTATTTTCAGTGTCTCAAAAAATTAATTGATTTATTTCCAGTGCCTTATTTGTTGCAACAACCCGTATTACATCGCAACATACGGACTACATTCGTCTTGATAGCAGTGAATATTATACTCATTTTACTGTTCTACATTTTTGTGTTCTGATTTTGTATGACAGTGTAGCATTTTTTTTAAAGGTACAAAGCTACCTATTTGTTCAAACTGAGTAATTAGAAACTTTCATCATTTTATTACTGAAGTGATAGGAATTGTAACCTCCTCCTATATGGCGAATTTCGCATCTTTTACGATGCATATAAGATGCAAAGTAATATCGAGATACATTGTTTGTAGCCTCATCTGTTATGTAAAATATTCAGTGTTTGATTTAGGAGTGATTATTCCTGTTTTACAAGGATACGAGACTTCTTTTCCGATCAGAACGATCAATTATTTAATATTAAGTGGACATATCATTTATACATTGATTTCTCTAAAGAGTGTCTGTTTGTCGCCGCTGATACAATAAATATTATTATTCTACAATGTTCTGAAATTTCTACTTTAGTCTACTAGTAATATTTAGCATAGCTAAAATATATCAGAAGATTAAGACCAAGTGAAAACTTTTGCTGAAAAAGAACTGAACAACCTCTATAAAAGAATGATTACATAGAATAAAACATGCCCATTATGGTGATAACTAGTCGTTGACGCGACAATCAGAAATACTAGATTTGCGCATCCATAGTAGTTAATCTACGCATCATTTTATGCTCATTATATTGCCTTTTATTTGCAATTGTATTGTACAAAGTTATCATAAATTAAGTTTCAAATCACATCTTTGACATCCTTTATTGCTAATGCGTCATTCAAGGTTTGAAAAAAATTCAGACAAGGTTTTGCTAATTTCGAGTGAAATTTTTTCGATATCATGCTTTTTATATGTGACGTTGTATGCACATAAGGCCACAATTTTTCAAATTATTCCATTTGTGAGTAGCATCTGCGTGACAAATTTATTCATAAGACATTTCCAAACAAAGAATTTCAAAGATCTTACGTTTAATGCTTTATGCATCATCCTATGCATTTCACACGTTTTGATTGCTGAATCCACACATAACAAGTTATCGCTTGCTATAATAACACATGGAACGCCTCGCACAACATATGCGTGTTGCACATATCCTACGTTATATTTTACTGTTGCAAATGTGAAGAAATTCATAGGGCTTGAGCACCTGACAATCCATACAATATATCAAATAACTCGCGTGCTAACTTCCCTGGTTCAATGAGCATGGATCTCGGCTTCAGCGTTATCGTGAGACATTGCCCGGGCCGTGCTATATCCCGCTTCCTGTAGAGATGGAGGTTATCACGTGTGAAATGTGCAAGATGTCATGCTGTAGTTTTCGCAGCTTCTCTCGGATCACATATAAAACTCTCAAATATGTTGGAGAGGATTAGTAATCAGAGTGTTAGTGGGAGATTTCATGTGATCTGATTCAATCAAATCCTTTTCTAATTGTTGTATATTGGAGTTATTATACATATCTTCATATTTAGCTGCATGTTGACTAGAACGTTTATACGATCATCACGACTTGTATCGTTGGCTGATGGTAGGATACAGGCGATCAGGGTTGGTTTGTATTTGTTGATTCTGAAATTTGTATAAATAACATTTCTTCAATTTAGTTTAGGACACTTTCCGTATTTCAGAGAATACGAACTGCGACAAAACAGAAGTTCGGTGCAAACAATAGAGCACGACGAGTTTTGCTAGGAGCTACAACCATCGGCGCAACAGGTGATTCGGCGAAATCATTTACCGTTAGATAAGATATTCATTTTTGATACGTTTAATCGAGTTTACAGTTCAACATTTGTCAGCTCTGTGCTATTTTTTTCTTTTTGAAAACCGATCTTTCAGTTTATTAAGATTGTCAGGCTCAATCTACTCATATCATTTATTTCTTCCAGGTGTCGCATTAATACCTTTTTTGAGCAAGAAGTTAGAAAGAAACAATGTCGCTGAAGAAGCATCAAAACTGGAGCATTTCAAAAGAGAAGCAGATACATTATACAGTGTTTACTTGATCGAAAATGCATACAACGTCTTAAGGAGGTTCGGTTATTGAACAGTGGTTTCTTGTAATAAAATTTGTAGTTCGAGCGATCTGGCAAAACCACCTTTTTCTTTTTCAGATTTTCATCAAGCAATGATCCACAAATGTTATGGAGACTGGCTCGCGTATTGTGTGAAAAAGCTAAAATGTCCAAGGTTGTTTAAATTCTGACTTAACAGGGGCTTCAAGTTATTTTCAGTGAAATCAAGTTATATTGCTACAGCATGGCTGAATTTAAGATTTAGTAACCAATCTTCTGTTACTCAAAATTATTGTGGTGATAAATGGCATTAATCTTATTTTCTCTCCAAAAATGTTTTAGGACAAAGATGATAGAAAGCGGTTCATGTATGACGCTTTGAAAATGGCTGAAAAGGCAGTTGATAATGAAGGTGAAGAACCTTGTTGGGAGGCTCATAAATGGTGAGTTATTGCTGTTTGAAACAAACAGCAGAATGTTCATAATTGTTTATAAGCTGCACAAATCATAACTAGGTGAAATAATTGTGAGCAGAAAACTCGAGTTTTGCTACCGGGATTTTTTGTCAACAATATGATTCAAGTTTCCGATTAAGAGTGATTTTTTGTCAACAGTATGACTCCACTTTTCCACAAATAGCTTTTTTTAACTCTTTGGTCAACTTTCTTAATAGTGGAAGGCTTATTGCAGTTGAATGTTTGCCAGAAAACAAGTATCAAATGAAATATAAGAAGATTAAAGTATTAGACAAGATTTCATTGAAAAAAAGAATTGCTATAATTACTTTCCTATTCGGTGATTTACCTCTTGTTTGCTACTTTTTGATTCTTATGAAATAATTGCGAATGCCAGGCTCTATTCATTTGCTAGTCCGTGGTACAAATAATTGATGTCGAAATAAGGATTACAAAAATAATTTTCTGCGATATACATAAGGATATTTCTCTTTTCTCGATGAACTCTATTTAGGTACGCCATTGTACTGAGTTATGTATCAGAGTATGAAGGTATTAGAGAACAGATTCGGCAGTCCCTCGAAATTCGCAAGCACCTTGAAAAGGCACTTGATGTAAATTCTACTGATGCAACCACTTGGCATGCACTTGGTTTGTGCTTATTTAATGTATACGTTGCTTATGTAAGGGTAGGCTATATCGTGTGTTTAAAGATTTCTTCCTGATTATGAATTAATTTTATTCTTTTGTGAGTTGTTGAAGCCTTATTGTTTTAGGCGTATGGTACTTTACATATGCGGATCTGTCGTCATGGAAAGCTGCAATAGTTAAGGCATTGTTCGGATCAGCCCCACCAGCGACATACGGTGACGCTTTGAGATGCTTCCAGAAAGCTGAGTTTATCAAGGTAAAACTGGGACTGCACATATTTTAAAATATGAGATACATTTCTTGGGATGATGTTCCTCTTCTGATTTGTCAATTTCGGTTATAGCGTATATCACAAAGATATTGATTTCAGCCAAATTTTGATTCTTCGAATTTGTGGTACTTGGCAGAAGTAAAAACCAGACTTGGTCAAAAAGAAGAAGCTTTCGAACTTTATAAAGCTGCATTCAAAATGCCAGTTATTACCATGGATGACGGTGATACTCATGATAAGGTAATAATTTCTACTGTGAAATATTTCTGTTCTCCTTGTCTGCAATATAAACTTCAAAATGTGTTACTTTATCATTTTAGGCCTACGAAAAATTACGAAAGCTTGGCGTAAAGGATTTCACGGAACTTTGATATCGTAATGTTACTTTCTGAGGAAGTTTCTGGGTGTTTCAATAAATTTGTACTAAGCTGTGTTTGTGGCTCTTTATTCGTCGCTTGACGATGTAAAGTTGTTGTTACTTATCGCAGCAATGTTTATTTTAATCAAATGGAAAGTATTTGGATACTTGGACAATTATCTACATGCTTGTGTTCAATTTCCTCTTTCGAATAATCCTTTTCAATTGCTTCAGTAATTTTAAAGAAATTTTGTCATATGGTTATTTCTTGCATCATGGGTTCTTACTTTCCATTCAATTTGTTTATTTTTTCCAAATGAAATTTTGATTCAGTGTGTATGTCATATTTTTTTAGTTTTTTGTCTCTTCATATTTCGCTTAATTCAAAAACAATGTTGCAATTATTGCAAACTGTGCAAATTTTGTGCCATCACGGGTCAAAGGCATGTATTTTTGTATGAATAAAGTGATTCTTCTATTTTTTTTTATCTTTTTGACAAGAGATAAAAAAATTATCGTGATAATAAGTACTGTGCGCGGTTGTTTTTTTTTTCGATAACTGTTAAATAGGTATAAGGCGAGTCACTAATTATCAGTATTTTGAGAGGTCAGTTCTTGTGAATCATTTCTAGTACATTACTCTCTTTTGTAACACTGATATTTTTTTTAATTTCTTGATTATGAAATTGAGAGAGTTTCTATTCCTTTTGAGATTCAAAGTTTTCATCTTTGTGGATACTGTGTTACAATGTGACCGCCATTGAAATTAAAATTGAAATTTAAATAAAAACAGTGGTCAGTAAAGGCGTTTTCGTTTACACAGATTATTTCTTCCGTTTTCTTTGTGTCTTTTTGAATGGCCAATTAACTTTTGTAAGGAATAAAGAATGTCCTGCTGATCCTTTGGTACCGATTGTTATAATATCTAAAAATGATTCACTTGCCACACAGTGATCACGATCGAAGGAGACGTATTGGCGATGAAGGTAGGACTTAACATGAAATAGTCTATTATTTTCAAAAATTTTTGTTTATTAAATTTTGGATGGTTTCAGTATCCATTTCACGATTAAAATCGAGAGAATACGTTCTTGCTTTATCAGTTTTCGATTTATATGGCTTAATTATTGGTTAAGATTTTTAGATGGTGATGGGTGCTACAAAAGACAGCGAACTGTTCCGGAAAGGACGGAATCAGAAGTGCGTTTGGAATCACTTATCAATCGCATTGGTGAGAAGGTAAGGTTCAATGCGAAATAGTAATCTCATTCATGGCAAGAATTATCCACAGCTTTGTCACCATGTGTGAATTCTAAATACAATATTATTAATAAATTAGTAAATTCCAAATACAATATTATTTTTAAAAATAAAATTGGGAGTGACTGTATGACATAGGTTCCGCTGTGTTGCGGTTTTACGGGCTTCGAAATAAACATTGTTATTTAATGTTAATTTAGAATAATTCATCAATGGAATCCAATTTGGAAAGTGTGGCTCAATCATTGGGAACCTTTCTCATTACTGATATAGATCGCATTATCGATATCGTTGTAGAACGGTAATGTTTCAGTCTTTCAATATTTTTTATGTGAATAAAGTTCAGGAACTTCTGAATGCTATTACTTACTAATAGAAATCTTTTTATTGCAGCGTATGTTATTTACCGGAAGAAATTACTGCATATTCAACTCTTGCGGGTTTGCTGAACTCAAAGAAGCAGAAATTTGGCTTTGAAGTATCGCAAGTTTTTGTTTTGGAAAAAATGAAACAATATAATATTTAAGCATAGTACAATTTATTTAATCGTCACAATGAGATTGATTTTGCTCAAATTTTTAGCTTTTGCATCAATTATTGGAAGTTTTACGAGAGAAGCTTGTATCCGCTGGTTTTATGCATGCTTTACATATCGTAAGTTTTATGGTCTTCGAAATTTTATGCACACTTTTTTGCGTTAATGATCTGTGGTCATTGATTGTCTGTTTTTCCAGGTCACATTTCTAGCTGACTTAGTCAACTGTCATGTTGTTTCGTCCAGTTCTTTGGTAGAATTTTATGAAAGCTTCATGGAAGCTGCTTGTGAAGAAAATATCCCACAAGTATGTTTCTGGAAATATTATGAGCATAGATATATTAGATTCGTAAAATCCTATAAACTCTTTAGTGTCTTCCATCAAAATTTCGAAAGTGGGATAAAAAAGGGTGATATTACCTGTTAATTTGGATGTATATTGTAATTTAATAACTGGTCGATTTAATTTTCGTTTAACATGAAATAGCTTCAATTTTTCATGTTTTAAAAAAGTGTTGATCTTTTCAGGTTCGAAGTGATTGGTTTGTTTACGCGGTGCTGCACAGTCTTCCCTGGGCGGGACCTGAATTAAATGATAGAGAGAAAGAACCGCTTGACAATCTCTTAGAAGGTGTTGATAAGTATATGCTTGAAAGGAGCACATCTCATGCTAAGGTAAAATTATAGTAACTTATTGGGATTAGCGAGTTCAATGATTAGATAATCAACTTGTATGATATTGTTAAACGTAATGTTAGCATATATTCTTCACTCTTGCCGCAGTTTTTAAGATAAAGAGAAAAAGTGGAATAAGGCTGAAATTTTACTATATGAACGACAAGTGTTGGATGAAACATTAGCGAAGTCATTAGCTTTGAGACTGCATAGTATATTATCACGTATAATTATAATTTAGCTGTTATGACTTCTCCATTGCATGATTCGATTTCACATCATTACGAAGTCCACTGTTTTTATTATTCTTCTTATGTCATCTTTTCCTTAATATCAAGTTGTTTTACTTCTAGTTGCTTCAAGTTTGGTCAGCAACGGAACATGAACAGGAAGAATATTTAGATAGTTTGTGGACTCAAATTTCCAAACTACGGGATGATGGTTGGGTAGAGCGGCATATTTCGCGATATTATATAGCATTTGATGGTTCTTTGGCCGGTGCGATTGTGCATAATTTACCGTTGTAAGAAGCACTATTAATTTTTTTCATTGTAAATTTTACAGCAAGTTTTTAAGAATCATATGTTTTCAAAAAAAAAAAAACATTTTCTTTTTGATTGAGAAAGAAAATTTCAAAACAAAGTCGAGATTTCTAATAGTATTGCTAAATAAATTGGAAGGACATTTAAATATAAAGGATTTCCACAGCATAGTTAATTGCGCAATATTGAAAAACTCTGCTGTTTCTGGTTATGGTTTTTCTGGAAATCTTTGTATCGGTATACATAACTTAGATGTTATTCTGCAGATTTGTTCCACCACCGCATATGTCAATGATGGTATATCCGCTGCCTACTGTTGTATTTCGTTTTTTTGACTACGCCGATTGTCCAGATGGAGTAATTACCTATATTTCTTTACTTTTTCTTTTATCTTAATTTTTTCGTCTTTGGGATCTTATAATTTTAAAGTAATCGTTTGTAGGGACCAGTCCTTCCTGGAGCTCATTCAATCGAACGCTTTTTGATTGAGGAAGAATTGTGCTCAATAATTGAGAATAACTGTTACAGTAGGAAAGAATGGTGATATTTTTATCTTCAATTTCATGTTTTTTATTTAATATCTGCTGAAATCTTTCAAAGTTTGATATAAGTGACAAATTTTTAAAATTTTAGTGCAGCACAACTTGTCGGTTATCAAAAAAAAACAATGGTTCCAATAAACTATATGATCTTGGAAGTAATCTTTTCGCAGCTGTTTCGTCTGCCACATCCGCCATTGCGACCTCTCTTTTATGGAAGTGTGATGATCGAATTATGTAAAACAAGGGATATGCCTCAGGCTGGTTATTTCATTTTTTTTCACAATTTCTTCATGTTAAAATATAGTAAAGAAGAGTTATGGTTTATTGCCATGTTTATCAAATTTAAGCTAGGTGTTTTTGCTAAAATTTGCACATTTCTAGGTGATCGCCCAAGCAGCAGAATTATTTTATCAACGAATCGATACAATGCAACTTGAATGCATCGACAGGTTAGTTTATCACGATGAAATTTAATTTTATTTTTTTATCCGTTCTTATTAACGCAGCAGCAACATTTACAGTTCATATTTAGAACGAAAATTTCATACCTTCATATGAACAAAAACAGCTTTTACTGCAGAGAATGTCTATTTTGCGAATTCGAATTCCATTATTGCTCTTGCGCTCATATGATTTCCAAATTTCAGATTGATTGACTGGTTCAGTTATCACATGTCAAATTTTGATTATCGTTGGTCATGGGTCGACTGGGATGATTGTCTTGATCTGAATGATTATGCACCAAGACGATATTTTGTGAAGGAAGTTAGTGATTTCTTTTCAATATCAGTTTAAATGGTTAAATTACTTCAAAGGAATACCAAAAAGGAATCCATAATTTTCGAAATTAAGGTTATCGAAAAATGCATGAGGTTTTCGTATCACGAAAGAATTTGTGATTGCTTGCCCAGTTCATTTGAAGAAATAACACCAGAAAAGCCTTATATATCGTTTTTAGTAAATCATGGTATGTTAATTGTTTATGTACTTATTTTTAAAATCCATTTGCTTAAACTGGAATTCATTTTCTTTTCTCGGTGAAGTATGTTTAACTTCATGATATGTTAATTGCTTATGTACTGGTTTCTTCGAAAGCATTCAGAAATGGGTAGTATTTCATCCTACTATTTCAACCGTACATTGCACTTAACAAAAAAAGGTTCTGAAGAAGAAATTTTTATGATCGAGGAACTTTTTGTTTATGAAGCTTTATTCTTTCGATAGTCTGATTGCCGCTGATTATCGTTTCTTTCAATCTAATTACTCCAAAAAAACGTTATGTATCATCAAACTTACAACAACCAATTATTTTCATAGAAGAAAAAGAACTGGTTGCCGAAGTTGAAAGAGCATTTCGTAACAAAGCTGAGTCAAAGGAAGTAACTGAAATATTACGCAGATTTAACCAGAAAGATAACGGTTTGGCCACACTCTCTACTTTCTTCGCAGTTATGCTTAATGCAGCGCAGAAGTCGTTCAGTCACAATTTTGCAGCCTTAGCAAGGTTTCATTCTCCTTCATTCTCCATGTATATCTTCAACCTTCAGCTATTTACTTCTCTTTTTCTATCCTATTATTTTAATTAAAATCAGCCGTTTACAACTTTTTGGGTGAATAAAATTGGGATAGTTACATATTTTTAATTCAGATACCACGAAACATTGAAGGAACTAAGTGGTAATGATGATGACTCTTCTACTGCACTTTTACAAACACTTTACAAAGTCTGGAAGCATAATCGACATGTGGGTGTCACTTGAGATGTTTTCACTTCACTAGAGTATTAATTTAAATGAAAGCAGGAATATCGAAAGATCTACCGATCTTACAGATTAATTTTTTTTATGTTTTCATTTTGAATAATGGCTTGATTATTTTTGCTGGTTCATTTGCTCCGAACGCTCAGTTTTTTCATATGAATATACTGCTATAAAAGTATTGCAGATGATGGTTGTATTGATTACCAAAATGCTTCGAATGACATTGCTGAGTGCGAATGCTGTGGTATCCTGGTTATTAAGTAGTTATGTTGGCCAGGAATTACAGCGGTTGTTTTTTGCATTGCTTAACATCCAGTTTATTTTGTTGGAATTATTAAGTTGATGCAGATTTTGTTAGTTTTTAATGTATCGTTTGTTCTAATCACTTTTTTTCAGATTTTGGCTATGGGAAACATTGTTTATAGTTGTAAAATATGCGTGCGGATATACGAATCGATGTAAGATTAAACTTCAACAAATGCAGGAAAGGCGTGCTAGGATGGAGCGAAATGATGGAGATGTAATTTGTTTAATTTTGTGTTCCATGCATGCCATTCTGAGGAACTTTGGTTTATAAAAGAAGCGGACGGATCTTTCGGATAATATTGAGATAATTTCTTTTCCTTATACTGATTAATTCCTTGAAGTGCTAGTTGATCTTTGAAATTCGAATATATATGCGAGATAGAAATAGGTTAAGGACTACTGATTCATTTTAATCATCCTTTTCCTACTTGCGTTTGTCGCATCAACGCAACTACCAACAAACTAGAAAATAATTACTAATGCCAAATAATTATTGGCATCCTTACTGATCAGAAAGCCATTGTATAATTCCTGATTATTTCATTTGGTATTGGTGAGTCAAGCCCGATATTTTTAAATGAAATTTATAAATATTAAATCATTCCCGTATAACTGCTGTTTTGAGAACTTTGTGGCACCTATAAAATTTCCGTTTCATTTTTTCTCTATAAACGATTATTTTTTTCAAAGGTCCTTGTGCAGGCATATCAACGTTTCTGTTATAATGAAGATGATAGTTTGGGAGTGATTCTCGATGATGATATTGAAGTGAAGAAGAAAGAATTGAATGAATTACAGGAAATGTTAAAAAATCTATTTCTGAATATTTTGCATGTAAGTTCATAACTAACTCAGATTATTATTTTGTTGTTCAAAGTGTTAAGAAAAAGTAAATATAATTTGTTGATTTAGTTTTTTATAGATATTTTATTTTAATGAAAGTTGCGATGGAAATTTGAAATTCTAAAATGTGAACAGATTTCAGATGTTATTGTTATATTTTGCTTGACATGGATATATTTCTTTTATTTCGTCATGATTTCTCAAACTTTAAAAAGGCAATTGTTTTTAGAATTTGGTAGTCTTTCTCTCAGAACATCTTGTAAAATATGAAACGGCTGGAAGAAACTACGAGACTTATTGGTATCGATATATGATGGGACGGTTTAAAGAGATATTATTGAGGGTTTGAGTTTCTGAGTTTTTCAAATTCTGAAATAGTTTCCATTTTCAGTTGAGATCTTATCTTTAAATTAATATTGTTAACAAAATTTCCATGTGCAAGTAGTAGTCTGTGATTCCGGTTAATTTGGTGCTAGACTATTCTACGAGCAAAAACGTTGTTTTCATGTTTAAACCACAATTTAAAATAAATTGTTAAAAGAAAGCAAGCAATTTTTTTTAATAAGCTTTTATAATGTTTTTTAAATAAGTTTAAAAACAGTCCTGTATCATCAGTGATATGAAGCTAGAATTAATTTTTAGTACTGGCGCGAATTGTTCGAGATGAAACAACACATTGATAAAGAATTATTTGTAACAGCAGGAATCGACCCAAGAATTTTGGAGATTTACCATCAGTTCGCTGCTTTAAGGGCGTGAAGTTTCGTTGCTTTTAAATTTACACGTTCATGTATTTAATAAGCTATAAGATGTGCAGGATGAAAAATACTCTCATATAACGCATAATATAAATTAGTTTAAAATAAATGAAATTTCACGTTTTACTAATTAGTGCTAGAGAAATGTAGATGCGATAGTTCATTTTTCATTCTACTGTGAATAATTTAGGATGCTTATTCGCTAATTTAAGATGCTTATTTCTGAAGTGTTTTTAATTTACATCGAAAAAGGAATTTATTTCCAAATTCTTTTTATTTATTTAAAACATGAGAATAGTATTGTTCTGAAACTTATACATGTTTTTCGAATTCTTTACATCATCTATGATTCTAATATTATATTCCAAATTGTGTAAAATAGTAGATCTGTAGTTTTACTTTTATTATTTCAACGGTTAACAATCGGAGTTTAGCTCCACCACACATAACAAAACCTATAATTTTCCGTTTTCACTAAGACAATAAAAGAATTCGATAAAATCGACCTGAAACACATTACATAGCCTTATCGTCCTGTCTTAGGAATTTAATTTTTCTTGGTGCTTTTTCCGTTATTGGTTGCTGTATAATATTTTGTTTTGAATATTTCAAATCATGTTATTGTTTTGAATAATTGAATTCTACTGTTGACGATCCTTGCAAAAATTTAAATTATTAAAAAGTCATTGGTTTTGTCCTTTAACTTCTTCCCTCTTTAAGCTAGCCATTTTCCAACTACATTTTTGCTGAAAATTTGATGAGTTGTGCGCTTGGGTACATTTTTTTAATTCACTATTTCTCTGTATGTTAATGTTTATTTTGCTCGCGATTTCATTTATTCTAGCGATTTACAGCATGTTCCAAAGAATCGTTATTGATTTCATAATTATAAAGTTTAGCACTTGGTTTTTCTTGTACTCAGCGTTTTAAATGATTCTGAAAATGCGAAATAATTTTTAAATCTGAATTTTTATGTTTTTTGAGAATGCCTATATAGTTGTGTCGTTCTAACTTATCTTAAAAAGATAGATCAGATTTCCTGTAAACGAATCTTTATTGATTGACGTGAAGTAGATTTATTGTTATTTGGTAAGGGAAGCATTTATCTGTATAATTGTGGAATGGTTTCATCTCTAAATTGAATTGGTATCTTTTACTTGTTGGCTGAGTAGTACTTTCAGTAGCATGAACTGTGGATCTCAGAGCTGCATCCGTTGTGTTCATAAAACAAAAAAAAGCTGTTTTTTTGAAGTTATGGGGCGTATGTACAACATTTGAAATACAATCGAAAAAAATGGATACATACCTCTGTTATCCTTAAAGCTTTTTGAAGTTTTTATTATATTTCAAAAATCAAGATATTTTGGAATGTTTAAATTAGAATAGTGTCAGAAAATACGATTTTCAAAACATGATAATTGTCATGTGAGACGGGTGTAATTATAAATGTATAGCTTTAGCTCGAAATTCCAAATTCAAAAATTCGCAAATGTCGCTGTGCATGGCGGCAACTCAGTGATGGTTTGTGTTTTTTTCCTGGGCGATTATTCTTTTTTTTAATTCAATTTCGAATTGGTGCAAATAAAAGCTCCACGATATTCAGTCCAATTATCATAATTTAGCTATCTCTGTTTAAAAATGCAAATTGTGATCAACAGCTATGTAAATTTTTATTCGCCAGTAAAAAGTTTATCGAAATGCCAGGTGGATTCAGTGAACTTTTGTATAACTTCTGCTGCAGTCTTCTAAATCACTGGATCATAAAACAATTGTTTTGGAATAAAGGATTTGGTTTAACAATTACATAAAATCAGCCTGATGTCTTCAACCAAAAAGAATAATGAATTTGGGCACTCAGCATTGTGGACACAAGTTGAAACCGAACTTCAGAATAGATTTGCTCGAGAACTGTCCAATAGGTCAATAATATCCGTGGCAACAGAATTTGAAACAGAGGTTTTGTTGTTTATATGTTTGCGCATTACCAACTTGCATCCCGCAAACGCATTGTACTTGTGAAATGCTGCAAGTCATAAATGACAATGTATATATTTTTATATCTGAAAAAAATTGATGGACAGTTTACCCAAGCAATTGTGTTAAGTTAAACA